AAACTATTAATTTGATTAACTACAAATATCCGGTACAAATGTATCGGTAAAGTATATGAACTTGTTCAGGTAATATAATATAGATTGGCTACAATATAAATATAGTTTTTAATATGAAAGTAATAATTATCTAAATAACTCTAATTGATTCACTTACCGTATCTATTTATTCAAATATAGTATATAGGCTATTCATCATTTAGAGAAGTGTATTTTACTTTAGCTAAATCTTTAAACTAAGTTCACAAACGCATTTAATAATAATATAAATGTTAATGCTGTATTACAATTTACAGTAGATTATATAGAAAATACAAAAAAACGCCGTATACGTATTTATTGATAACTATATTTAGAATAAAAAAGTTGACCGTAAACTCTAGATAATGAGAACTTCCTTACCCCCGTGACCTGTCACACAAGCCACTGTCAACCAAGCTAATCCTACGGTCCAAGCAAATGGAGCAATGCACTGAAAGGCGATGATTATATTTTCGTTGGCCATAATATTTTTCTTGTAATTACGCACTCCAAAAACAGATAATGTCATTAAAAATATGCATCCCGTCCAACAAAGTAAAATGGTAATCTAAGAATTAAAAGGGAAAATTCTTAATAAAATGACTACGTAAAAAGTTTAATTTTAGTTTTGGTGATATTGCTTTGTGTGAATTAAAAATAAATGTTTAGAAATTTAAAGAGAAAACGTCTTAAATGAAAATTGTAATATTTACTGACATTACGAGTAACACTCCCATGAACAGCAATATATCACGTTAGCAGCCGGTACTTAATTAAATATTAGGGGAGATCGGGGCAAGATCGGCATGTTAAGGTTTACTTAAATTTTGTGTAATAAATACTGCTGTAAACTGAAAAAAACCTTTTGCATATTGTCTATTGAAATGTTACCTTACTATACATCTGGTTAAAATCAGTTTGGACATAAAAATAATTAAAATAATTACAACTTTACAAGAAGAGAGAAATTGACGAAGTTGCCCCGGGTATAGGGGCAAGATCGGCAACTTCTCTCTTTTTGTAAAGTTGTAATTATTTTAATTATTTTTATTAAAGTTGCCCCTGGTATAGGGGCAACAGTAATGGGNGGACATAATCGGTTATCCGAAAAATCAAATTTTTTTTTATTAACTCCAGTCTCTAATTGATTCGGATAATTGACGATCTACTGTAATAATAAATAATACAAAATTTGTGTACCTTTCCAAATGTGACCTGTTTCTTCTTTCTTAATATATCTCCAATTACAGCACCGAAACAATAAGTACCAAGATGCGAATAATATGGTTTATGATAATTATAAACAATATATTTATAGGTTTTCCTAAAATAATATATAAAAATAAAAATAATATATTTGATTAATAATCACTTATTATCAAATGATAAAAAAGTTAAAATTTTATACTCAGCAGCAGCAGGTATTCCAAGCATCACGTAATATCTGTTCGAAACTACATCAACTATATACATGATTATTCCTGTTAACATTAATGCAATTATCGAGAGTCTTCTAAATCGGGGCCATCTGCAAAACGATATTCAATACAAAGTAAACGAATTCAAAATATGAAGTATCCGTTAAATAATAATATCTAAAACTTTTATAAATACTGAAGGAATAAAGTATATCTATTCAATGACATCTTGACAAATTTTTAGGGTTTTACATGCGACCAAGTTTACTTTGGTGTGAGATTTAGTAACAAACTAAAAACAATTCATTAAAAAATGAGTATGAAATTTTACCACTATTGAGCTCTTGGCGCTGCAAACAACAAACATTCTATACAAGCCAGACATTCATGCAATACAGAGGCGGTAAGATATTGTTTAATATGTGTCCATTCTGAAGACGTAAAACTTAAAAAAAATGAATAATGTGTTCAATGGCCGAGCGTAATTTATCTGCGATTTATGATCGGCAGTTTGGTAGTCTTTGGAAGCTGCCAAATTTTCCTACTGGAATTCGGTAAGTTTAACTTTTCGAGTATTATCAAAACATAAAATTAGACAAATTAAGAACTGAAAACCCAAAAATGTAAGCGACTTTGGGGATTACACTTTACACTATCTGAAATCTACCGCTTCAAAGAGAATCCATTTCAGACCATTATGAAATAATTCCGTACGTGTTGAAAAAACAGATTAAGGGGCATTTGACAGAAACCAATATACAGTATAGTGTCGTTTATCCGAAACGTCTGTTATCCGAAAGCATTCTAGTCGGCAAATTTAAATTTTCGCTAGTGCTGTGGCGCTGCAATCTTTGACTATATCTTGGGCAACTCAAATATTTTACGTTATTGATACTAAATAAACTTCTGAAGTATAATTTTTTATTGTCTTTATATTTTTCAATATATTTATTTTGTTTTTGTAAAAAATAGGCTTCGGTTGGCTTAACATCGACGAAAATTCAACGCGAATTGACACGGAACGGAGAGAAATTTCAACATGAGATAAATTAATATATTTTTTCGTACATGATTCGTTATCCGAAAAATAAGTTATCCGAACCACCCCAGTCCCCAATTGATTCGAATAAACGACGCTCTACTGTACTTGCAGTTATTCACTAGCATCATTTGTACCTACACGTGTTCCTTTGGGTATTCGCAAGAAGCTTCGTGACGAGTTACAGAGTTGAATCGCTCTAAAATTTTTTTGGTCCATATAGCTGATTTGGAGTGGAAATTCCTATCGTCACAATTTTACACAGGAAAAAAACAGTTAGGATTTTCGGCGATTACAAAAATATTCTGAAGAAAGCCGTGCGATTACTTTCTGATTTAATAAGGAAAATAAGTGTCAGTTTAAACTTTATCTGCGAAGCTGCAAGTTTACCAAATTTCACTCAGTCCAGGCTTTCCAGCTATTCCAGCTAATATTTTTGTGTGTAGCATCCAGCAGATGAAACGGTTTTCCAGAGATTAGTGCTCCGTAAAGGGCATGGGCCAATGCCTACAATCTGTCTGCTTTACACCGTTCAAATATTATCGCCGTGCAAGCTGTTCCGTATTCAGCAATACGGCGTTTTAATTGATAATACGCATACAGGAAGTTACATTCGAATATACAATAGAAATCTTATTGTTTTTCATACGTTTATAAGTTTCCAATGAAATACATAATGCGGTTATAATAAAATATTAATTTTAAGCAATTAAAAATACTGTACGTTAAAATATGACAATAATCGTTGTAGTATATTCAAATTTAAAGTAGGTGTTTCTAGACATTAACTTACATTTTGAAAACTGTTACTTTTTTCTTTTTTCGGGTTTGTCGTGTTTGTAAATAGTAAACAAATACATTGTGTAAGTCTGTACAAATGTATTTCATAAATCTAGGCCACGTGTAGTATCATGACCATATATGACCTTTCGTTACGGACCAATAGACATCACCCCATACGGATTAAACAGTCCCAAATAGTTGAAACACTTTACTAAAGCTTATGTAATCGATTTAGCATTATATCAGGGAATCATATTACAAAATTAAAGATACATTTTTATCTATTTATAAAAAATAAATTATCGAATTCTTTTACCTGTCAACAATATATAATAACAGTGACATTAAAATGGAAAGTTGCAACAACGCACTGATGAACCATATTTCGTCGATTAACACCTAAAATTTTTTATACAATAGAAAAATTAAAAACTGATAAAACTACTAACATTTCATTATATTTATATATGAAAATATCCTACACACAAATAAAAGTAATTTCCATAAATGAATTCACCGACTTGCACAAATAACAAAAGTTCTCATTGACGTATTTTTATTTTATAAACGCCCATTTATTAAAGCCATTTCTTTCAATTATTCTGCAGCGCTGAATATTTTCACTATATTTAAATAAAAATGTTTCTTTAATATAATTTTTCATTTTTACGTCTCACATTTTACTTTTTTACCTTTGTAAATAATAGTAATTATCTATGCGAAGAGATATAATAGATTTCAAATGATATTTAGTTTTCTTTACATTAAAGTTTAATATAATTAATAATAACCCAATAAATTTCCTTTTTGAACCAATTACGAGAGAATTTTTCTAAAGAAATCACTATGTAAGCATAAACTAACCAATGGTCTTGGTATCTGTTTTCTGAAACGTGTAAAGTGTGCTTATTTCATTAACGTGCAACAAAGACACAGGAATTGCAGAAGTGACAGCAACCTTTACTAGAGATACGCTGGTGTTGACCTGCACCACGATTGATTATCGAAAAATTTTTATAATAATTAATTTGTTAAAATTATTTTGTAAAAGACGTATTTATTTATAAAGTAACTTTTAAAAATCAAATATAAAACTTAACTTTAAATGAAACAAATTAAAACGGAATTTTAGAAATTTTTCGTATCACTCGAGAACTACATATAGAAGTCTACTGAATTTTCCCACTGATAAAAGTTGCGAAATTTATAGCGAGTTCCATTTCTTTTAACAATTGACCTTACGAATAGTTAAATGAAAAACGTCTTAATCACTACATAGTTATACAACAGTTTAAAGTGAAGAAACGTTCACATACCCTTCAGATTTCGTTACATGTAACATTAGAAACATTTGTGGCTTAACGATAAATTGCATATATCTAATACATTGGTTTGTTCAAAACAATTTGAGTGAATGCAAATTTTCACGTAATTATTCATAATGTCTAAAACTTAAAAACTGAATTTTAACTTATATACATTTACCATCGATTCTTTGGTTTGGTAAATATGAATATGGGTGATATATTTCCACCATTCTCTTTCTACGTGTTTTCCCTGACTAATAATAATATCCCAATGAGGACCTTCTCCAAGAAGAGGCAGAAGAATTGTGAAGCCCAAAGCGAAGAATATCGGAAGTGTATATCTGAAACACGAACAAAATATAATACTCGAAAAAATGACGAAAAGAGTTTAATATTTTACCTGATAACTCGCTTTAGTAAAAGCATGACATAGTATTTCGCAGAGTTTCGTCCACTTTTTTGTCTCAGATACATTACCATAAACCCGCTAGCCAAAAAATATTATTCGTTATTAATTTTAAACACAAAAGTTTTTTTTTCAAAAATCTATAAATGTTACTATTATTATTATAATAGTGAATGTAAATGTTCTTCAAAAATTGTATTTATATGTAACATTAAAATTAAAATAATCTTACCTGTAGAAGAAGAATGATTCTATCGTAGTGAGGCCTTGGAGAATAATTTCGAATAAAAGAAGATCCACACTCTTGAAGATATTGGAATATTTATCTTTAAAATATAAGTATTGTTATTTTTATAAAAAATACATAAATATAAAAAAAATATTTTGTATGAAATATGAGTTTTATAAATCGAAGAAATAAAATAGCTGTATCCGCGGCTTCGCCAGCGCAGATTTTGCAATTTCATAGAAATTTTATACAAAAACTAACGGAATTGCACACAATTAGGTAAACACGAGTGGATTTTTAGTCGATTGCTTCGAGTTTTTCAAAATCGAATTAAAACAGCATAACTGAATAAAGGCATCATTCGATACTCGAGTATATTCGGTTATCCTTCGTAATCCTAAATAAATAATAACTTAAAATTAAGTTTAATTAATTAATTGCTCTACATATTTTCAAATAACGCAATTTCAATTTTCCTGATGTATCATTCACCTGTCAGCAATCCGAAATGTTTAGTCTACAAATTTATGGAGTGTCACTCATTGCATTTTAAAAATTTGCAAAACTTCGTTTTGCAAATTTTTTTAATACAAGACAGAATTCGTATAAAAAACGAATAATTTGTTTCGTTTTAAGAGTACATTTGTCTTTCTTATTAGAGATTTTTTTCATATAATTTTTAAATATTTGTCTCACTTTTTAACATTTCGAGTCCATCCTGTTGTACTTCTGATCAAAGTTTCACCGGAAACTTCCTTAAATTACATATTCTTTTGTATTGTGCAAATGGTGATTCCCATCTATATGATACACAAAAAAATAGTCTTTCAATAGTAATTTGCTATTAGTAATTCATTGCTCTTATTTTTCCAAATTTTATCTGTTGCTTTTACATATATTAATAATCAGCTTTGGCCAAGCGAATTATTGATTTTCTGCATGAACGATACGATCGATTTTCTGCCAGAAATAAGCAGTGTAATTTTTTTTTCAATTATCATAAATTAAGTGGAAAACTTTCTCAGTAAGGAAATTATGTCCTTGTATTCAGCTAAAAAAAGTGTTTTGGAAAGAGTAGCGACGATTCGAAAAAATAACTTAGATTATGTATTTTTAAACGATTAATTTAAATTTCTACTGTAATTCGTTATTAAATTTAATATAAAAGATTAACATGCTGTTAACAGTATTCGGCACGGTAGTTTTTCATGTGCTTCAGCTGAATACACATGTCGTTTTTTTCAATATTAAATTTTAGTCCGTATCTTAGTTTTAGCACTATACAAATTAAAACATGTAGTTTTCAAGTCGTTTTGCTCTCTTCGCTCGAAAAAAGTTTTCCATTTATGTTTTTACACTCTGTCGCTGAGTTTAGCAAAAATATTTCAGAAACGAACGGCAATTTGAACGAATGAAAAACAATCGTGACAAAATCATCGAATACATTGCACGTAAGTAGCCTATTTCGAAAATGACTGACACTCAGTAAAATAGTATTTAAAATTTTTGAAACTTAATAAAGAAATCTTTTCGGTGATTGTTCTGTATCTTAATTTATGATGTGCAAAAATTGTCAATGAATCAATAAGGTGTTAGATAAGGATTTAAAAATTATATGAATATAAGAAACTTTAATTTCAAATCGATCATCATATGTCCGTAAGGAGCCGTCCATAAATTACGTAAAGTATTTTGGAAGGGGAGGTCAAGGATTTCATTCGATTTCTTACTCAGGGGTACGGGTGTAATAGATCTCGTCTTACGTAATATTCTTATGTTTATTTTATGATCTCGTTGAGTAGTAGCGTTTTGAATTTGGCTTCAATTTGGCGGTTTCTATTAAGAACGCTCGTTGTCTCGTGTGATGTGATAGAGTAATAACGCTAGTAGATTCACACTCTGCACATTTTTTGTCATGGGAGAAAGGCCGTGTGGAGATTTTTCTCTCTTATTTTTGACTAGAATAAGTGCACCACTCCTATGGGTGTATAACACTAAGAATACATAAACCAAAATACACGATAGAAAGAAACATAAAATTAGTATTCGGCTTTTAGTGAAAACTAAAATGTAAAACTAGAAATTATAAATTATAAATAGTCTTTTTTCATATTATTTTAACATAATTGTAAAAAGCATCAAACAGTGGTTTCTGAACAAGCTTATCGAGTGGACGTGGTCAACCGAAACCGAGCGTAAACATTTCTAATTTCAGAATAAATCTATATTGATCTTAAATTGGACAATGATAGATCATATGGTCGATGTTGTCTACGTTTTCTGTAGAGCAAAAGCGAGAAGCAGTTTCTGCCCGGTTATACATCGCCAGGTAGCTTTTAAAATTATGCTCAGTAAGAAGTTGAGCAGTAGCAAATGTTAAATCTCTAAGTAGTGACGAGAACCCGCATTCAACACTAGGAAAATAAAGTTTTGTTATTCTACCAGTTTTACTGCTCAACTACTTTTATTGATTTCACTTTTGTATAGCGTTGTCTTGAATATAATTTTTAAGGTTGCTACGTGAGAGAGGGATGCGAGTGTAGTCCAAATCAGTATCCTTTGCAGCTGATTAGCCTCAAAGTAGGCTTTTTCATTTCCTAGTATGCCAGTATAGCCAGGAACAAATATGAAACTTATCTTATTTACAAGATTTTTAATATGGGGCTGGATATATGCGATTTTATGGCTATTGCTATTGGGATTTAATAAAGCTTTTACGACAGACTAAGAATCGCTGTAAATGTTGATAGACAGAGTTTTGTTTGGTAGTGAAGTGGCGCACTGAACAACTTGGTAGTCGGCATCTTCTTCAGCTCGATAGATGGATGTATGTGGGAAGTATTTGTACCTTCTAACATATTTTGGGCAAAATATATCAGTTTGGAGGAAGATACAGATACTTGAGCCGACACGAAAAGAGTTTTTAGACTCATCTGTGTAGATATAAATGTCTGCATGACTATCCATGGAGGAAGCTGATGACACCAAATAACCTTGTTTACAGGGTGATTATCACAAATAGTAGGGTAATTGCAATGCGGTAGCGTATGAACAGCCGTAGATAGGAGAAAAGACTGTTATTGATCCATAATGTTTGTAGTTGTGATGTAGTAGTTTAGAACCTTCTCTACACTACATAGTGGCGAAGAAGGAGCTCCGCTAGTATCAGAGGCATTAGTAGAAACAGTTATGCAGCACTTTGAAATTTTGATGGCAAACTGTCTTTGAAGAGATTAATTTACTTGCTACTGAATTTTTACTAGTTACACGACCACAGCCAGAGGCCGCGTAAAATAGCATTGGTTGTAATGTCCCATTATAGAATTTTACAGGCTTTATGATTTATTTTCCAGGTACACCTAGCACATTTTAGCAGAATGTAGTTTATTTTCTTAGCCACAGCCAAAATGTAATTATTATAGCAACGGAATTTGGTTTCTATTCGCTCTTGTTTTATTTTGTATGTCGTTTCTGTTTAGACGTGCACTAGCTAGTCGATCTGGCAAAGGTTTTTTGCGTTTTTTGTGAAAATACAATTAATATAAAAATGAAGATTATGACATTAATTAATGATAATAATAATAGGGTGTGGACGAGTTATCCGGAATGCCGGGTTATCGAGTGTCGAGTTTTCGGGAGTCTACTGTATTTTTAAATTTGTTCTACATAAATCTTTTATAAATAATAGTACTGTACATATTAATGAACTAATTAATAATTGTATATTTTGGACCAAAGGTTTTTATAGGGTTTCATAAAAAATTATCTGTTAAAATCTTTCTATAAAATCATGCCGAAATATTACGTAAAATAGAAAAGGAGAAAAAGGATCAAAGAAAATATTACGGTTTCTTACACAGGGGTGGGTGAGGGTCTAGAATGGCCTAAATCGCCCTTGTATAATTTATGGACGGCCCCAAACAGATAAAAAAAAAGAATAAGGTAGAAATTTCTTGTTTCATAAGACAATAATCTGCATTTTAAAACATTAATTAAAAGTGACATATAATTATAATTATTACATATATAATTACATTTTCCATATTAGCTGTGACAGTGAACTGACTAAACAATAGAACAATTAAAATTGTGTTACGGTGGCAAGCCTTTGGCATACACTGTGGCAAAAATATTAATATATATTAAATATTATATCTTACAGTAAAAAAAAATACCTGTTATTGTGGGAAACAACATTACCACGCATAAATGTCCCAACACCACAATATTTATTAGAAGAAATTTTACACCACACATCGATTTTGTACTTTCGTCGAGATTCGTCGAATATAAGTTATGTAGAGATTTATAAGGTGAAGCTTTGAAATTTTACATTAAAAAAATACCTGTTATTGTCGGAAACAATACTACCACGCATAAATGTCCCAACACCACAATATTTACTAGAAGAAATTTTACACCGCAGATCGATTTTGTACTTTCGTCAAGATTCGTCGAATATAAATTATGTAGAGATTTATAAGGTGAAGCTCCAAGAATATACTCGAAAAATTTACCTAAAAATAATAAACTTTAATAAATTATTAAAGTTAGGTTCAGTTAACTGATAAAAATATATTTATTTTAAAATTGTTTTTATGAACTGTTCATAATATATTCGAAAATAAGAGCATTCAAGATCATTTTCCTTAACTTTAGAATAATAATAGATAAATTCTCATTCTTAAATATTTTAAAAATATATTTTTATAATCTTAAAGACTTGCCTTTACTCGCTTTCAGAGGAATAATGTGAAGTCTCATTAATATTTCTATTAACGTTGCCAATCCTACCCATGCAATAAACATGCCGAAAACAATTCTAAATGAAGGCAATTAATATTTTCACATTAATTTACTGAAATATAAATTCATATCATTTAATTAACAATAGCTTAAGTAATTTTTTTATTTCTGTGTGCATAATAACTTAAGAGCTATATTAAAATTGCATTATTTAGAAATGTATTAGATACTTGCTTAATGAAGACTTTTCACTTGTGAAGCTTCAAACTTTAGTTTAGTTTAGTTTATAGGTAGAAAGCTGTTGTGAGACTTCGCTCATATAAAAAAATAAAAAAAGAAGAAAAGGAGGGAGTAAAAAAATGAAAGTTTAAACCTTGGAAGGATGAGAAAAGGTAAAATAATTGACCCGCATCACAATGATAAAAAATAATTTAGATACAAATATACAGTACAGAGTGCTATTTTGGCTGATGGACAGTTATATATACAGAGATCGCATTGTTGATCCATATACAACAATATATCACAGTAAAATTTAATAGCAGGCTTGGTGGCTAGTGACGACGTTGTTAACCTAGTAGTTCCTCGTTGGCGGGTTGTTGCTTAGGGAGAGTAGGCCGATAAATATGTGCAGAGTGGTTTCAAGCTCCGAATCGCTATCAAAATTTGTCTCACAGAAGTTCTAGACCTAAATCACCAAAAACCATTAAACAATTTTTATTTAAAGATACACAATGATGGGGATAGACAAACATTTAAGTCTTATCGTTATCGGAGTTTGGTGTCGAATCGAACGTTGACATCTACCTTTTCGAAGTTATGAGCTGATACCGAATTTTTCTTGAAAACAACAACGAGTTGAGATGACTAACAAGAAAAACACATGATAATAGGACAAATTGCATTTTAATATCCCAATTCTTTCTTCAGCAGATATCTCTTCCACAATTCCTATTGAACTGTTATCAAAATATCCTGCCTCTTGTACGTAAGTGTTTTTGAAGGTCTCATCGATTCATTACGTATCTCCCGTAAATCTTTCAACAGATTATTTCTTACGTGTGCATCCTTCCCTCTTGGAACACTTCATCGATCCGTCGTGTCCAGAAATGTACTACTCAGGTTTTCCCGATGAACTTATATTCTAGAGAATGGTGAATCTTAAGATACAAAACGCCATTATCCGCTATAAATCGAAAAGCAAAGGAAAACTCGCTATTTGTTCGGCTCGAGACTCAGATGTTCGATATTGACCATGCCATTGGACAAGCAGGTATACATCTTTCCTGTCGTCATCAAGTCACTCGTTGACCGCTGGATGTGGTTTGCATTAAACGTCAAAAGTGAGACAATTAAGATTAAAGAGGACTGTACTTTTCTAAGTTAACTGTAAACCTGGAAGACCTATCGAAAAAACTTGTGAGACTCCAATCTCTCCTTATGTCTAATAAACGGATTATCGCATTCCAACTCCAACAGTTTCGGTGCCAATGAACACGCACATACTCACTATTGTCCGTCTTTAGATATTTTTGTTAGTCAATAATAAAGAACGTTGATATCAGATTGCTAGTTCCACAGCATAGTACTACCCAGTTAATGTTTTACTAGATGTTTATTTCTAAACATATTTTTTGTGCAATTTTCAAGCAATATTCTATTGTTAGTTGAGAGGAAGTTTACTTGCCTGTTGCATTAATTTTATCGAAAAAGTGTAACGAAAAATTATGCTTCGAAGACATACAACTAACATTTAAAACTGTTCGAAATTGTCGTACGTATCAATATAACTTTTGATTTATTTCCATGTTTTATTTTTATACAGTCTTATACTTATACAATTCTTTGTCTTTCAGTAATATGAAAACCTAGAATGAAACTCGAGTAAATCGCAAAAAAATTATCGAATAATTTTCCTGGTTTGAAACGTTTTTATTTTACTTAGTTCCCGCAATTGACACCTTTTAATGTATTTACGACTATTCAACCAAACAAGAGATTCTTTGTTTATTAAATAAATTATAAAATATTTTTTTTAATTTGATATATTCTATAGCTCATTAACGTTAATGACTTAAATTTTTATTTTAAAAGTTAATTAATTAATTTGAATTATATATCTGTGTTCACTTTTCTGTAAAGGATAACACGCAATCATCTGCTGTACATCGAAGACCAGAGGAAAACTCCCTATTATTCGTTTTTATTACTAAATATATTCTGCAATGGTTTTAATTAATTTAAATTTATTTTTGTAATTTTATAAATATGTATAGCGATTTAAAATTAATATTTATATATTTCAATAAAGTTGGATATTTTAATAATATTTATTTATTCTTTGTTTTAAATATGTTGTGTATATCTAAAAATTGTGTAAACATTTATATTCAAATCGGAGATTAGGTGTTGCGCCGAATTTGACAATAAGATCGATGATTTCAGGGAATCAATGACAGCCAAATATGTAGTAACTAAAAAATCCTAGGAAATCGATTACAGCGATATTAGAACAGTTGAAATGCGATCAAAACTGTATTGTAACACTTATTTTAAAATTTTGTTGTATCTTCAACCGATAATCTGTCTTGCAGCCGTGTCGATAACAAATTCGTAAGAGGTGTGCGATTTTCCATTTTCACGCTTTTTGGCATAATTTAACCGAGAGATTTTACAAACGAACATATTCGAATCGTTATTTCAGAAACAATTTGCAACTATTTGAGGATTAATTTTACACGAGTGTTCTAGTCGAAAAATCAATGGACTAATTGGAGCAACGGAAACATTTATGACAAATACCGTCTACGAGACTTATACCTTCAATCTATGACTTAGCAAGAAATAAAATATCATATGCAGAAAAAACAAAAAAAATCCAATAATTTCACGAAAGAATTTCTCTAGTAAAGTTTAATGTGGCAGTTGTTTTGTGACTTTTTCTAAGTATATTTTGCGGTGTCATACCAGACGGTTCCGAGTGAAGTAAAAAAAAAATTCAATTGAAAAAACAGACAGTAAACTATCGCTTATTTTATTCAACGATTGAGTGAATGATAAAAATGTTAAAGGTCGACCGATAACGGAATATTCCATTATAGTAAAAAGCAGAACACATAAAACAGAAGAAGAAACGGTTAATAACTTAAACTGAAGTACTTAAAACACAGAATTAAAATAAACGATGCGCATTCAAATAGAAAATAAATTTCTCTTTAATATCATGTAATGTGCTTCAGAACAAAATAGATTCGATTTGCTATTTTCGTTGTTAAATTTATTTTTTCGTAAAATTATTGATTTAAATGGCCTTTAATCAATTTATTATCACGTTTTTTACAAGAAATTTATTATTTATTTATATTTTCTATTTCATCGTTAATTTGCCTTAAGTAATTTTAAGTAATTTTCATAATTTTCATGTTCTTAATTTAATATAATCATTTTAATAAAGCTTTACATCAACTAAAGCCGAAAAAAATCAGCGCGGCAAGCAGGAGTTGCGGGTTCGAGTTCCGCTCCGGGCCAATTCTTTTCTTTCAATAATTGTAAAATTATTATTTGAATTTATTTAAATTATAATTATTAAATGTATAAAGACGTCATTAAAGTTAGGCGCCTAACTCTAATGTCAAGTTTTCTATTAAATTATTAGTATTATAGCCGTTTCTAGCCCGATAAATCGGCTTTGGTTGATGTAAAGATTTAAACGTATCGGGTGTAGTAAGGATGTTTTATTACTTCAATGAAAATATACTTACAACGATATCAATTGTCCGTTAGTGTATTCAATGCGTTCATCTTTGATTTTGCAATATTCAACATTAAAGTCTACCGCTGTCCCGAATACTGAAAAGTAAAATTCAGAAGATAATTAAACATTTAAACAAGTACATAAATTAATTTTCCAAAGTAACGGTTTAATTTAACGCTTATTTTATTTTTAATTTATCAGAAATAATGAGGTTCAAATGCATTTCTTCTAAAATCAAATTTAACTAAAAGAAAAAAAGTATTTTAAGTAAGAAAAGTCGATCTACCAATATGGTTCCTCCCTGCAGTGGGAGGAATTTCAATTGGAACTTTTTTCCTTAAACACATCTGAAACATTTTTTACAAATTATTAACAAAATCTGCCATTGGTGGGCACTCCACGCATTACAGTTACTATTTCCTCATAAAACATAGCATAAAAATAGTCTTATTTTTCTATATTATACAATTGACTCTCGCTAATCCGAACTCTTTATGGGAAAGTGTTTACAGATTATTGAGTGGTAATTTTAAAAATTGTTTATACTGAATTACATATTTATATCGACGTTAAAATACATACTGTATATAAGTACTGTATTAATTTTACAAAGTTATTATGCTTTATTACAGTGATTTTGTGTTGTTTCGGTTCTGTATAATAGAATGAATTAAGTTCCTACGTACACTTGATTAAAACGTATTCGGATTTACAAGAGAATTTCACATAATTACAAAATATCAAACGACTTACTCCAATTCCCAACGTGTTTTAAGTCTTTATTACTACATGTACTCGGAAT